TGAATACTAAAATCCTTTAAACACAGCACTAAGACTATACATCTGTGAAAATTGTGGTTACAGCATACACTGTAAATGAAGTAAACCTTAACTATTATAATTGTAAATAAAGTAAAACTTAACTATGTAAAAGTAAAAACTTCAGAACTGAGGGAAGAGAAGTATACAACTACTTATTTCTTCCATTAATTAAAAAAAATTATTTTTGCTTGTTTTGGTTTTTGAGACATGGTCTCACTCTGTAGCCCTTGCAACAGAGACCAGGCTGGACTGAAACTTGAGGAAATGCTCTCGGCTCAACCTTTCAGTGGTGGGATTGAAGGAGTACACCCCCACATGCCTGGCCTGGCAGATAAGCACATCTTTTTTTTTTTGAGACAGGATTTTCCTGTAGTCACATGCCTGGCCTGGCAGATAAGCACATCTTCTTTTTTTTGAGACAGGATTTCCCTGTAGCCCCAGCTGTCCTGGAACTCACTATGCTATGTACACCTTGAACTCACAGAGTTCAAGAATCCCAAGAGCTGGGATTAAAGGCATGTGCCACCATACTCAGCATATTACCACATCTTTTACAGTAGTGAATATGCTAATGCACCCTAATATGAAAAACATATGTACAGTGGAAAACACGCTTTGAATCTCAACAGTATTTTTGGAATGATGTTTCTTAACAGAATAATCCTTTAGAAAATGATCTCTCTTACATCACTGTAAAGCTCAGAATGCTCTGTATTCTTTAGTTTCTTTTTAAAATTAAATTTGGGTAAAAGAAAACTTAAAAACACAAACAAGCTAGGTATGTGGGCACACATCTCTAATCTCAGCACTCAGGAGGCAGGAGGATTGTAGTGAGTTCAAGGCCAATCTGGGCTACACAGTGAGTTCAAAGCTAGTCTGGGCTACAGAGTAAATCTGTATATCTAAAAGGCAAACAAAACAATAACGACAAAAAGCAGAAAGTAACAGATGTTGACAAGTACACGGGAGCAACTGGAATCTTTGAGAATTGCTGGTAGGAATAAAAACAGTGGGTGACCCTGGAAAACAGTATGGCGGGTCCTCAAGAAACTGATCAAAGAATTAGACATATCATGAGGCTGGGGAGATGCCTTAGTTGGTAAAATGCTTACCACATAAGCATGAAGACCTGAGCTCAGATCTGTAGCACCCATGTAAAAAGCCAGGTGGAGTGGCATGTGCTTGTAATCCCCCGGTGCTGGGGAGGTAGGCACAAGAGATCCCCGAGGCTTGCTAGTCAGCTGGTCTTGCTGAATTGGAGCGCTTCAGATTCAGTGTGGGGCCCTGTCTCAAAAACTACAGTGGAAGTAGTTGAGGAAAGCACCCAACATCAACGTATGGCCTCCCACATACACAGGAGCACGCACCCAAACACACAGAGAGAGATATGTACCATATACATATACATACACACAGAGAGAGAAAATTTTAAAATACATAATTACCATATAATCCAGCAATCCCACTCTGAGATTTGCTCAAAAGAATCGAAAGCAAGGACTCAAACCGGTCGTTGTACACTAATGTTACAACAGCATTAGTGATAAAAGTCAAAAGGTGGAAATGACCCAAATATTCATAAAAGAATGAGTGGATAAACAAGATGCAACACATACATGAAAGGAGTATTTAGCCTTAAAAAGGGAGGAAGTTCACTGACACACGTGGATGGCCCTTGAAGATGTGTTAAGTAAGGCAAGCCAGACACAGGCCAAACACTGCACAACTCAACTTACACCAGGCAGCCATAGCAGTCAAGTGAAGAAACACAGCAGGGAGGAGGCTGCCAGAGACTGGAGGAGGAAGAGTGAGGAGCGGCAGGCGAATGACTCTAGAGTTTCAGTTGAGGAAAATGAGAAAGTTCTAGAGACAGATAACGCTGACAGTGGGACAAAAATGTGGATGTTAACTTAATTCCATTAAACTGGACACTTAAAAAGATAAATTTTATTTTATACGTATTTTACCACAATGAGCAAAATTGAAGTTTGAAAAAGGAACGCAGGCTTGTGAGACACCTCAGTGGTAAAGGCCCTTGCTGCCAAGCCTGACAACCTGAGTTCGATCTCAGGATTCAGAGTGGTGGAGAAAATCAGCTCCCACAGTTATCCTCTGACCTACCTACCTACACACACACACACACACACACACACACACTCGAATAAATTGAATAAAAAAAGTAAAAAAAATGCTATTCAGTAGAGTGAAGTGGGAAAACCACTTGGGCTAAGGTTTTTGTTTGTTTTGTTTTTGGTGTGTGTATGTCTGAGTGTGTGTGTGTGTGCGCGTGTGTGTGTGTGTGTATTTGTCTATGTTGCATGCACATGTGTGTGCAGGTGCTTGTGAACATATTGAGACCAGGGTGTTAGGTGCCCTCCTCTATCACGCTGTGCTGTGTCCACTGAAACAGTGATTCTCCCTGAACCTGGACCTCATGTTTTCCTGCTAGGCTTGCAGACAGTGATCCCTAGTGATTCTCCTGTCTCTACCTCCCACCTTAGTGTTGGGGTTACAGGTGTGCACAGGACTATGCACATGGGTGCTGTCACAGCAAGTGACACCTCTCCAGCCCTGAGCCCAGAAGTTAGAGACCAGCCCAAGTTAACAGAAATAGACATTACCTAAAACAAACAAACCAAAAAAGTCCCACAAAACCAAAAAGGAATGAAGTGCAGATATGTACTACATGAACCCTGAAACACGTTACATGAAGGAAAATCAGATGCGAAAGGCCACAGAAGTGAAATGCAAGGCATAAAAAAGATGGAAAAGAAATGATCGGCCCATGGATGAAAATAGAGACAGTGGTGGGGACACTGAATGCAATGAATAGTGTCAAGGTTAGGGAGGCGGCTGCTACTAACCAGGACGACTCTGAGGCTGGGGCATCAGAGACTATAGGGTCAGAAGGAGATGAGCTTACCCAGGTGACGCCAGCAGGATTGCTTGGTTTTTCATCTAGGAAGCAACTATTTCTACGGCTGTGTACAGACGGCTTTAGGTTATAGCGCGTCCCTAGACTACAGGCACATAGCACTTCCTTTGTGCCCACTTCATTAACTGTCTGTTTCTCCCATCGAACAAAATTGTACATCCTTCTCCTGTTTTTCAGTGCTGGTATAATCTAATCACCACATGCTACAGCTTCTCCAGTTGTATGCCATGAGTTCACGAGGCCCCCATGAATTACCTGGGAAAGAATCAATTGTCCGTGAAACATGTGTACAAATTTTCTTAAAAATGAAAAATAGGTCTTGTCTCCAAGTGTTCTGGCAAGGAACCGAAGAAGGAAGTAGCCCTGGGAGAAAGTAAGAAGAGAGGCAGAAAACTAGATGTCCATCACACGCTCATCACAAAAATGACTACATCATCTAGCCTAGCTCACCCACAATGTACTGGTGCATCTGGGTCTTTCTGCCCCAAGGTCCTTTTTATATTCTAAACAGGGAGGCCAGGCTTGAAATGCAGGGAAGACTTGGAGCCCTCAACGACTTTGCTAATGCCATCACCACCTCTGCCTGGACTGTGTACGACAGGGAGGAAAGGCCCAGTGCCTCCACATTAGTTCCTAGGCCTCTTAGTCACCACTCATCTATAGTGGGAAGAAGAGAGTGAGGGGGCAGGGACTTGGGTTTGGGCCTTCTAAAAGTGGCCTTGATTGGAGGTTTGGAGTGCATTAACTGGTGGGCACTCAGATAAGAGTGCTTGGTTGAGCTGGAGACTCTTTCCATTGCCTCAGTCATGTTACTGGCCTTGTTCAGTTGAAAGGCCTCAGAAGTGCTGTCCTGTAACAAGCAGCTAGTGCCACTAGGTGTACTTACCTTTAAATAATGAACCTGCATGAAGCCCTTCTCTGGATTAAGTCCATGCTTGACCACAGATGTTCCCGAGCCACTCATGGCCAGTCTTCTCTTTGTTGGGTCTAGAATGACAGTAGTAAGTTGTTTAAATATAGAGCATACATCACCAACCAGACCATAATACCTTACTACTTATTTTCAGAGTTATTCAACAGCACCTTCCTTCAGTTCAGTAGTATCAGGTATAATATAAAACAGTTTACATTATAAATTTATACACTGAACAGGAAAGGATTTATATTCAGGTTGGCAACCTGAGGTTGGCTATTGGCAATATTTTGTATCATCTTATCCAAGATGAAAGACTGCCAGACCCTCAAGGAATCTAAGCTTCAATATGAATTATTTAACAACCAAAACCCTTTCTTGGTGAGGAAGCTAGATTGGGAAATGCAATGGAAAAATGTAGCTTACTTGGAAAAGTCATGAATTTACATATCGACATGGTCTTTCACTATGAAAAGCCCCAGTGTCCCCTACTTCTTGGGATTTGCATTTAATTATTAGGTCTCCTTTAAGACACATTTGCATGTGAAACCCACTAGAGAATCACAGGCACAAACAGAAAAGGTCCTAGAACGCCTGTTTTGGGAACAGGTGGAGACAGTGGTCACATAATTAGCAGCCTTATCTCATAACAAGGGACACGGTAGCACAGGTGAGACCTGCACTCAAGGTCTGATGGTCTGCTGTGCACTTGTGACACAGATGAAACCAGTGGTTTTTGAGGGTCTTCACCATATGCTCAGCTCTAAAATTTTTTTAAAAATTCCTTTCATAAAATGCACTTGAAGGATCTAGTAGAGATGTATGCACTGTTCGTGAAGCCTTAAGAACAGCGAAGATCAAAGCAGTGAACGAGGCATCAGCAGCTTTCAGCCACTCTAGAATCAGTCAGCTCCTGGCTGAACACTGAACACTGAACACTGAACTGCTTAAGCAAGACAAGGGAAGAAATGGCAGGAAGGCAAGCACAGAGAGGCAGGGCTTTATTTGGGTTTCAAATATCAGTCTTTCTTCTTTGAATTCTTTTCTGTTTGCTTTCAGACAAAGTCTCACTATGTTAAGGCTGGCTGGCCCAGAACTCATTACTTAGACCAGGCTAGTCTCAAACTCGCCGTCATCCTCCTGCCTCTGCCTCCTGAAGGCTCGTTATAGGCATGCATCACCATGCCCAACTCACCTTTCTTCTTACTATCTGTTACCTATTAGAAGCTTTCTTAAGCTCTCAAGCCCTCAATTTACTTACTAGTAAAATGGGAATAATCCCGCTTACCTTCCCAGGTCCTATGGAGAATAACTGAAATAATATTGCAATGCCCCTTACAAGGACCCAGAATATAGAAATTATTCCTTCATTATAATAAAATACTCTAACTGCTTTACATAAAGAATCCCTAAGTAAGCCTTAGGAGAATATTCCAGAGCATTGTTCCAAGAGATACAAGTCTCAGAACCAGCAGCTGCCTGAAGAGGTGGTGCTGAGCAGCTGCTAGCGCTAACTGTAGAATCCGAACGGTCTCTTGCATCCCTGATGGGCTCACATGATCACATCTTGGAATTGCCCACGCCTTTCTTCTTCATTTAAGACTCTATTGCCATACCTTAGCTCTCTTCTCCTCTCAAGCTCTTCCAGGGTGGATTGTTTGATTGAGGAAAGGCAAACCAGCTTTGCCAGGGAAAGTCCACCACCTACAGTCTTAGGGAAGACTTCTCAAGAGGCAATGTTAATTCGTACCAGGTTGCCCAGCCTCAATGGAGGTGGGAGGAGGGGGGAAGAGCTACTAGGTGGTTCTTGGGTCCTTGAGCTTAAAATTGAGGATGCAGAGGGGGAGTTAACAGAATGATGCAAATCCATTATAATCTGACTTTCAGGTTCCAGGTCTGAATGATACCTAACATTTTCCCTTTGCCTAAACATGTCCTTGAGAACACATCCCTCCCTTGCTCTCTTCTTCACTCCTCTCTAAATGAGAGGTAAGTACTCAAGAAGATTCTTTTATGCCAACAGCACCCCCAGCAAGCACACAAGTCCCCCAGAGACTCCTTTTTAAAATAGACTTGGAACTGGAGCAAGCAGGACCCAGGCAAGCTTTGCAAAATGTCAAGAGGTGGTTTTCATGAGGAAAGATACTCCATCAACAGAAGCTGTAAGCTTCTGGCCCTGGGCAGCCCACATCCTTATTATTCTAGCTCTGTGTGGACAGAGTATGGAGAAGGTAAGAACCAAAATGCAGGCCTGCCCCTCAGTCATATAAATGAAGTTCACAGACAAGGAAAGTCACACCACAAAGTGCACACGAAAATACACCTCCCATTTGCCGGAAGCTCAGGAACTGGCAAAATTGACCTGTGGTGACAGATCAGAACAAGGGCTGCCTCTGGGAGGGAATACTGAAAGACAGGAGAAAAGGATGAAGTTTCTAAGATGTGGCAGATGCTATTGTCTTTTTGAGACAGGGTCTCCCTGTAGCCCAAGCTGTCCTAGAACTCACTATGTAGACCAGGCTGGCCTCGAACTCACAAAGATCCGCCTGCCTCTGCCTCCCAAGTGCTGGGATTAAAGGTGTGCGCCACCACACCCAGCTTGTTTTAGACTATTTTTATGGGGCTAAATAGTAAAAAAAAAAAAGAAAAAAAAATGTGCAAATAAAACAGTGCACATTTTGTGGAAACAAAGGGGAACCAGTATAGAAAAGGCATTTTTCTGCCTGTGTGCCACAAACATATGACTGGGACACAAAAGCAGGAACCAGCAGCTTCTGGGGAGGTTTCTGCTTGTCTGACAAAAGAGGGGTCTATGGCTACTGCTGTCCTTCAGCCTTGGCCCCAAACATGACAGAGGGGCTGCGGCCACCTTGTAACCAGGGGGAAGCAGATCAATATGCTCCAGAGAGTAGAAGGGAATGAAAAAAGCAAAGTGTCTTTTTATTTTTTAAACAGGGTCTCCCTATAGCCCCAGCTGTTCTGGGACACTCTATGTAGACTAGTCTGGGCTTGAACTCGCAGAGATCACCTGCCTCTGCCTCCTTAAAGGTAAACATCACCATGCCCGTCTAAAAAGCAAAGTGTCTTTGAAGGCATAATTCAGTCCTGTGGTAGCCCTGATGGTAGTCTGGAGAACGGGAGCAGCGCTAACAGCTAACATTGCCTGAGTATTACTTGTGCCATGCACTCTGCCAAGCTCTTCTTAAGCATTATGTCCTCTCCCTCGCAAGAACCTGATGGGGCAAGGGTTGTGAGGGTGCGCATTTAAGAGCTGAAGAAACTGGGCCCTGGAGAGGAACTCTAAGCTGGTCAGTAGCACAGTACCCCAGTCAGAATGCTGATCCATGGAACACCAAAATCCAGGATGTACTCTAGGGCCTCCTCAAGCCTCAGACCCCCACCTGGTTGTGCAAAATTCTCAGCAGAGAGCCTGAGACCCACTGCTTTCCCTCTTGGAAGCTTAGTTTCCTCCCGGGAAAGTCTGTGGTAAGGCTCAGGTAACATGAAAACACTCTAACAGCAAAAGTGTTCATCGTCCCTCAGCCATCAGACTCCATATGGAATGTGGGTGATCAAGTTACCAAGGTTGCCTGGGCTCCTGGCACCAACAAAGCAACTGAGATAAAGCGAGACCTTCTCCTTGTGACCTTGCTTCCCATTACCCTGCCTCTCCTGCACACTCACCGAGCCAGGTGCTTATTTCAAGAGTAGCAGCAAGAGCTGGCACAGTGAATCTGTTGGGAATCAGTCCCCTAAAGAAAGGTCTGGTCCTTCCCAGCTAGGACTAATGGTGGGATCTAGGGAGTCACCTCTGAGAGGTACTCAGGTTGTGGAGGATCTGTATACTGCCTGCCATGCCTAGCCCAGACAGATCTCCTGCCAGCAAGCGTGCCCCTCTTGTATTCCTTGGTCCTGATCCTGACAGCCAGTCACCAGATTTCTGCCTCTATATGCTCACTGGTCCCTGTCTGTCTGTTAGGGGCAGCTACCCCCAAAAGAGTGGAACTTTATTTACTCCACAATAGTGAGGAAGAGAAGCTGTCCCATCCAAACTCCACAGCACCTTGAAAGCAACAGGAAAGGAAGAGTATGCTGGTTAAACACTTGGCCATGAACACTGACTATGCCACACACTCTAGAATATGCAACCCTGTGAAGCCCAGTTCCTTCATCAGCAAAAACAGGGGACAGTGGGCTGGGGAAATGGCTCCCTGAAAGCAGGAGGCCTGGGGTGTTTCAATGCCCAGCATCAAAATAAGTGCCATGCAGGAGGTGGAGGCAGGGGATCCCTGAAGCAAGCTGGCTAGACCAGCAGAATCAGTGAGTCCCTGTTCAGTGTCTCAATGTATGTGGTGGAGAGAGAGGAAAGAAGACTCTTAACATCAGTCTCTGGCCTCATCATGCACTTGGACACACCTGCAAATGCACATACATGCATGGACACCACACATACATACATATACACAGACAGAAGAGGTCATTAACAGTGACTGGCATCTCAATGGCTGCAGCGTCCAGGAGGGCTGAGCTGGCATCTCTACTGTACATTAGTCAGTACCATCCAAAGCTGCTCTAGTTATGAGACTGCACCCCAATCTGCACCCATGGAGTCCAGGCTGGACCTTCCTCTGACAGGCCAAACTTCAGAAAGGTGTAACTGTCATTATGTATGCCAGTGAGATGCTGTACTGGGACAGGCTGAGTGGGGGACACAGGAACTTGTTCTATTGGTATGGAAACTTCCTGTACGTCTAAAATTCTTCAAAGAAAATAAAAGAGTGCTTGGGAGACAGTTCATTGGGGAAAGCGCTTGCCTTGCAAGTGTGAGAACCTGAATTCACTACAAGGAACCTAGGGGATAAAGGGAAAGAAGGAGCTCAAGAGAGGTAGGATCGTAGGAGAAGGGTATTATTAAGGGAGAAAGGGGGAAAATGGGGGCACCTTAATTGAGGAAACCATGATGGAAAGGTTAGACAATACAAGAGATAAATAATGCCTAGCTGCTTTTAAAAACCAGAGGGAACCATATTAGTTCAACAACCTACTGACAAATTATACATAGCAGATCAAGAAATATATGTCTAGGTAAGGTTTATCTGAGAA